GTCATAGACCTGCTGGTAAAAAACCATGTTCGTATTTCTCTTTTTCGTACAACGCACGATGCTTTTGGTGTACAAGAGTGAGTGTATGTTTGTATGTATCTGTTACGTAAACTGGACGTTTGATTTTGAAATGCATATCCGAGAAATATGACTTTTAATAAACGTACGTACATCGGTTGCCAAGTACTCAAGTAAATATTATTTATGAATCACTCTTTCACGTAATATATTTTGTGCAAACACACGATACTAGTAGTTTCACGCTACATTTCATTTTCTTTCTTGGAATATATAAAATAAATATATATTTAAGAAGTAAAATTAAAGATAATTTACATAATTAAAAAAAAAAACTAGTCATATTTATGAAAATTAACTTCAATTGTTGTTCCATTGAAATATAACATAGATTTTATAATTTTAACTTCTTAATAATATTTTTTTTTGTTTATTATAGATATACAAAACAGAACATATATTGTATATTAATATTTTTTATTTAAATAACACCGAAACAACATTAAATACAGATTATATTTTATAGTTTGTAATAGCGATGCGATGATATCTTTTTCTTTGAGAAATTCTACTGTAAAGTTTGTTTTTACCTCATTGGTATCTTTAGTGTTAATATTTCTAGTAAGCAAACAAAATTTTGAATTAATATAATTTATTGTAAATAAAACATTGAATAACAACAAACTGAATATACCTAAGATAAAAAATAACTTTAAATTAATCATTCATGCCCCGTACCCCGAGGACCACGGATCTAAAGGAGACCCATATAAAAAAATAGTGTCCTCAAATAGTAAAAGTAACTGGTATCTAGGGCCCACGACTTTCTTAATGTGACCTCCACCATGTCATCAATTTTTGTAACTATTATTTAGGACTCGAAGATCCCTATTTCAAATCAAGGGGGGCCTGATGCCATCAATTTGTCTTCACTACTGAAGATTTGAAATTTTGTCACTGATTTCATATCATTAATAAATAAATGATATTATAATTTCAATGCATTTATAGATCTATTTATTTATTTATAGTTATTTTCCATTCAATGTCTATTTAATCTTCATATTTTGCTTTGACATGTTGATGTGAGTTTCCCATTATTTAATATTAATTTTATATTTATAGATACTGACGTACAGGAAACTTATGTACAAATTTATTTATAATGTATCACATTAAAAAAAAACTGAATAAGTAACGCAGCTCCATTATTATCCTATTTAGCAAACAATGTATTTTTATTATAATTAAAGACAATGGTAAGTTGCAATTAATTATTACAAAATTATTAGTACATTAATGCATATTAAATTTAATTAAAAAGAAATTAAATTCATATTAAAATATATTAATCTTTAAGTAAACTTTAATTATCATTAACACCTTTACCAAAATTGTCAATATAATAAACTTTTTAAAGTCTATTTGTATATTATTACGTAAAAAAAATATGTTTATTATTTAAATCAATTCTCAATTCTTATTTGTTTTTTTTTATGTAACAACATGAAACGGAAATATTAAACTTTAATGTATTCAGATGACAGAAAAAGAAATATTTTTTAATCATATTACATAATCAAAAAATTTGTTGCAAATAATACATTAATTTGTTGTTTATCCTAGCTTTAAGCAACGGTAATTATTTCTATTAACATCAAAAATTCTTTCGTCATAATCACCAATACATTTTCTAGTGGCTGCATCCCACAATTGGATATCATACTGGTTTCAGTTTTACTTAGGAATATCTGCCGTGTATATAAATCGGTGTATTCGTCGTCAATTTTTACCTGAAACATTTTATTATCCAGGTATGATTTTATTATTTTAAAGTAATTATATGGCAAGTTCTTCTTTATTTTGTATAGTACTCCGATATGCCAAACTTTATCAAATGCTTGCGATATGTCCAAATCTTTTACTTTCTAGATCTTGGTAGATGGTATTTACTATTCTATTGTGCCAATATACGAGTAATTAAGAAGAAATATTGTTAGATACACGTGGAAAAGAAGATTCTTATTGAGGTACGACAGCAAATTCCGAGTTTTTACACCCGGAAAAGCAATATATTATTTTGTCTTAATGTTTCAGAATAATCTTTAATAATATTGTAGGAATTAATGTTTTTTTAATAAACGCTATTATCAGTTTAATACTTTTTTCTTTATGCATCGATCTAAATCTTTCTACCATCAGTTTAATATTTTTTAATAAAATCTATTTATTTACTAATAAACTTAAATCTGTTAACAAGAGAATAGTATTTTGTTAATCAGAGCTTTTTGTCTTCTCTATAATTTGCTTCATTCAATAAATGCTATTAAATATCATTTTCAGGGAAGAAAAACTTATAGTCTATTGTAGCAGTCATTTTTTCTCTATAATATAATTATATAAATATGTATTTTAATATTATTATTATAAATTTCAAAATATAAAATGTCTTCTAAATAATTGCAACAATGTTTATTAATTATTACAAAATTATACGTATTTGTTTTCTATTTTCGTAGATATGAAGACTGAACATGCCTCGGTTTTACGATTATTATAAAAAAAAACAAATACAATTACTTCTGCTCAGCTCAAGGTGGAAACAACCATTAGCACGGTGTTTCTTTCAAACAATTAAATTTCAACCTTAGATATATTTCCGTGAGCCTGATATCACGATGATCATGAACATGTCTTCGCTCGTTACGTAACGCGCGGAGAGATTCACTGCCAACACGAATTTGCATTTTTTCTTCTTCAAAAAAAAAAACACAACAAAAACGTGATTCGTTAAAACCGAATCACATTCAAAAACTTTAACCTAATTTGTTAATTCTTTTTTTTATCATTTTATTGAATTTATTATTTAAATTTATTGCAATGGAGCCGTGAAATAGAAATTTGAATTTAGAGAAGAAAACAAGAATGGTGTGAGCAAATTAATACCAAAGATTTCACCTGGTTAACACCAATTTCTTGCAAATAAATATATAAATATTAAATTTAGGTAAATAAGGTATAGGAAAATCATGTGGTTTCCGGCAAATAAACATGAAATTGATATGGTTTAATACAATTGAAATTCCAATCTTCTCGACCTTGTAATATTCCACTTAAACAAATATGAAATACGTTTTTATAATAACACAACTTTTCTTATAATTAAGTAGATAATGATATGATTTTATTTAATCAAATTTGCAATTCTCTCATCAAAGAAAAATCCTAAGAAAATGATACAGTTTGTTGAATCAATTGTATTTATAATATCCTTGTAATAATATTACAATTAAATAAATATTTTACGAAGAAACCAAATGATTATAAATCACTTAATTTATAAGGAAATGTACTGATATATTTCAACCAAACAAATAAATAAATAAAACTATTGTATTTGTAATAACATCCTGTGGTTTGTTTAGATTATTAACAATGAATTAAATAAATAAATATTTACTCAAGTTTCCCTTCAATGCGAATAAATATTTATAAAACAATATCAGGTTCTCCAACATTCCGTACTATTTGAAGCAGACATATCAAGGAACTAAACACATATAAAGTATACAATTATTTGTAAAAAAAAATAATCATTTTTGTACAAAAAAAAAACTATTTTTTTTATTTTGCACATTTAAAATTAAGTTTGTTTAAAAAGAATGAATCCAAGTTGACCGAACCCGTACTATACGAGGTATTCCTGTAAATATAATTATATTACTTTTCTAATATAAGATCACTTATTTACTTTATTATTACATAATAATTGAAGTGAATTTGCAATGTTCTCATCATTGAAAAAAATCCAATTAAACAAATCAATATAAATCAATTATTTTTTTCTATGCAATAATCACGCAGTTTCCTGATATTTAACAAGAAACTACTTCTGTATGAATTCAATTTAATTTGAAATGTTCTCATGCTTTAATGCATTTTTAAAGGTCTTACTATACATTTCAAAGTGATTATATTCATATTAAATAGATTTTTTTTAAATTAGACTTAGAAACTAATTACCAAGCAAAATTAAGTATGCTTATTATGATAATACAATTAAGAACATTATCATATTATTGATATAAATTATATTTTTTGTTAATGTATTTTAATTTTCCAATAATTTAATTTAAATTCATTCTTAATGGAAATAATTTTATATTTCAAATTTGAGGAATTAAAAAATTATTATACATAAAAAATCACACTAATTTAAGTTTTTATATAAAAAAAAAACGCACTTTGTGAGGCATTGCTGAAGTACTAAATCAATAATTATAATTTCATCAAATTTAAACATTATTGCCATTATAAACTTGAATATTAATGATATATCTGATATTAATTCAATAAAATTAACTAAAATTATTACACAATCAAAAGTTGATTACATAAAGTAACAAAATTCTATGAACTCTTACCTATTTTCGTAAATCTATTCACTAGTTAAATAAGATATTTTAATTAAACACGTTTGGAAAAGTAAATATTTGAGCATCTTTTTAAAGTTCCATTAGTTTATAAGCAAATAAATTGGATTGCGCTGATATTTTTGAGAAACAAATTTCTATTTATTTGGCAATTATTTTTTCACATGTACATGATAAACGATTTACAATAATGAAACAAATAGAGAAAAAAAAGTTGTTGTGTCTCGATGTTGTATATTCTAGACTAAATATATAATTTTTGTTTTAAAAGATGAGAAAATTTAAAGTATGTTAAAGTATCTAACAATTAATTAACTTAATAAATTTGTTTATAATTTATTTCACTTATTAGTCATATGGATAATAGCAAAATTGTTGTTTGTTGAAAACAAACTTGTGTTAAGTGTGAATTCGTCGGATATTTGTGTACTTCTATCTATCTTCGTATGGTGCTTTTCTTGGGAACGCATTTGATGATGTGTGAATTGACGCGAGGGGGTCAACCCCACTCTTATGCCAATTAGCCTGTATAAATAGTAGGCTTATCCAGGTGATTTCCATACAACTCGAAGTGATTTCAGAGAAGTAACAACCAAACAGAAAAAAGGCAAAATGAAAGGCATCGCAGTTATCGCTCTTCTGGCTGTTGTCCTCGCAGTCGTCGCCGCCAAGCCGGCCGAAGACAAGTACACCACCAAATACGATAACGTCGACTTGGAGGAAATCCTGAAGAACAAACGTCTCCTCAAGAACTACGTGAACTGCCTCTTGGAGAAGGGCAACTGCAGCCCAGATGGCGCCGAATTGAAAAGTAAGTTCATTTATTTATTTTTTTGTGCTATACTTTTAATTATTTGTTGCATCAAAAACATCATATTTCTCTTTAAAACTGAAATATTTTTTGCCCTACACATTTGTTTATAGTTTTCTATTGTTTTAAATTTGTATTACTTTAAAAATATTATAATTTCCCTAATAACTGATGATTGTATATAATCAAAGTTTTTTTTATAATAATTTTTGTTTCTCATGATTTAAATGTGCGTGCTCAAGGCTGTACTTTATTTACCGGTTCTAATTAATATAATTTACCGCGTATTGTTCCAAACTCATGACGCTTCTCTTTGTTTTGCAGAGGTTCTTCCTGATGCCATCAAGAGCGAATGCTCCAAGTGCAGCGAGAAGCAGAAGAACGGTAGCCGCACCGTCCTCCGTCATTTGATCGACAAGGAGCCAGAGATGTGGAAGGAACTCGAAGCCAAATACGACCCAACCGGTGACTACGCCAAGAAGTACCGCGCTGAAGCCGAGAAGGAAGGAATCAAATTGCCTTGAATACATCGTAATTTTTCTTCTAATCTGTTCGTCATCGAAAGAAAAAAACATGACCAGGATTATTTAATTTTATTGTTACAAAAAAAACATGCGATATAACTAATTTATAATTTTATTTATTGTGGACAATAACAACAACAAAAAAAAACAACAAATTTTCGTAAAAAAAATATATCTATTTTTTAAATGTTAAGCAATCTTGTTTTATTATTCGTTTATTTTTTTAATATTTGGAAGTCTGCACAGAAGTCGTCGGTTCTTGAAGTCCATGAACTAAAAAACGGTTTAGAAACGCAACGTTTACCATTAAGCAACTCAAATTTGAATAAGAAAAAAAAACATAATGAGTAGAACTCGTCAAAATAAAATAGCAGATTTTTGTATCACTAAATATCATCATTATAATCGATATAACTCAACTTGTAAACATCTGAAACATTGATACTATACCAGTTACCAATCGTAGAAAGAACTTGGATGTTTTATATTAACTTAATTGCAATAGAATGATACTAAAGTAAAACAGATAAATTTATAGAGTATTAAGTCATCACATTATACACTTCCATACAATGCACCTTGTTCTCAATGACCAATTGAAAGAGAATACAAATACGACTGTATACTTGTATCCTGATTATTCAATTATTTTTAAATAAAATAATGAAGTTTTCTTGATATTTATCCGAATTTCAAGTACAAAATAGATTCTATTATTTTTAATATCATTTATTATGCTTTCTGTCACCAAATGATGCTTACTTATTCCGTTTTCATATTCATGTTCAACAAATTGTTATTTGCTATATAATTTAAAACAAAAAAGAATTTATATAACTTTTCATTTATTAATGATTTTATTGTAGTATTTTTTTAAATTATATGTTACATAAATTATAGAACATTATGTTCCGTTACTAATATTTTATTTACGTTTGTTCTTATTGAATGCGTTCGAGTCAATTTACATTTATTAGCTTCAATTTCATATAAATAAATAATAGGATTTTTGTATTTGTTTATATTTGAATTTCTTATTATTAAGTTAAAAATATTGGTTAAACAAATAAAGTAAAAACCCAGGTCATTTCAGTATAAAAACTAATTTCAAGAATCCATGACAACAAAACTTCCAGAAATCGAATGTTAACAATAACAAACCACGAGAAATTAGCGACTTTCTTTAAACACTTTAATTTTAATTACTGTAGTTAGTAAAATCAACTCTTATTGAAATCATTAAACTACTTTCAGATATTAATTAAATAATTATTAGCAGTATACATTTATAATGCATGTCAAACAACAGTTCTAAGACAAATAAAGCCTTGGTAAAAAATAATGTTATACGAAATTAATTCAATTCAGATACAAAATGTACCACTTGAACCTTGAAATTACCATGAGCATTCAAAAACTTTTTATACAAAAACTAACTCAACAAAAGATGCAAGCTAAACATAAAATTAATAATATTCTTCGTCGAATTCGAGGTCTTCTGTTCCAAGTCATATCTTCCTTATAAAAAAATGTCTTGTACATGACTAAACAGCGGATTCGATCCAAAATGAGTTGTGGTTGCATTATATTATAAATATAGCCTACTACTGGAATATATTTTATTATATATATATACATAGTTAGTATGTACATATTAAAGTAATCGAATCAAGATATATAAAACAATAAATACAATAACTTCACAATGTATGTTTATTAAAAAATAAAATCATTTCGTATTATCTTAGTGTTTTGAAGAAAGTATCAATTAATTTAATAAATGCTGACACGAAGAAAATCTAAATATTTATTAATATTTTGATATAATAACTATAGAACATAATAACAAAAATAACAATACTTTCATATACAAAAAAAGAAACTAAAATATGCAAAATATTATTAATATTATTAACTTTGTTTTTCTTGTTGTAAAATTTTTAGGCACTACAATCATCATTTTGTATCAGTAGCTTAAGAAAAATATGTTCATTTATTATAAAGTTATATAAGAAAAGTACAATTTGTACAAACGTTATCTACAACGAAACGCGTTTAAAAAATATACAGAAGAAAACCAAATGTTAATACCACGGTATTAACAAATGGTTTTCAAACATCAGTAATTCTCATTCATCCTTTTTCTTTTTGTTCCTCGTATTATCCTCATTTCCTCGCTTACGCTTACTGCTAGGACCTTCGCTCAGACGGGTTTCGCGCCTCGAAGGCACTGTTTCAGCTTGGACTTGCAGCAGAATCCTGATTTGCTCCATTCCCTCCTGCTGCATTTCCAATGCCATTTTGTATACTGTATCATTTGTCTTATTGTACATTATGGCGTTGTTGAACATTAGCAACACGTCCCTTTGAAACTCTGTAGTAGATCTGATGGTTCCGCTCTCGATGTTCTTTCTCAGTGTTTGGAAATCCATGGGACGCTTGACAACATTGTGGTAGCCGGGCGCTTGTTCATTGGTTATAGGTTTTGAAAACAAAGACGAATACTTGTGCGTTGCGAGCCTACTGTAGACCAACATAATAGACTTTTTCCAATTCTTATAGTCCCTGTCATCCTCCACATACGCAGTGCTGGATGCTGGGGAATTTGGTACAGAATCGCTAGGCGTGGCCGGAGTTGAATACCTCCTCCTAGTTCTCATACCAGAATTCTCTTCCTCCTCGGTCCAAGGACTATTTGAACGATCATTATCGATCTTCAATTTTCCTTTCAACAAATCAATTGATTTCTTGTCATCTTCTTTCTCTGACAAACTATCTTCCTCCAAATTCGCAGCTTGCTCAACAGCCAAAAGTATGTCGAAGTCTGTATCCTCCTTTTTTTTCGTTCTAGAATAATCGCGTTTTGCTTTCCCCGTCTTATCAATCTTGGTAACCTCAATGTTCATATCGTCGAATATGTCTGAATATTCTGGAGTAAACGTATTTCGTCTAGATAACGTCTCATCCTCATCATTAGTAGTATCCTTATTTCCATCAGATGATTCTTGTTTAATTTCCATATCCAACGATTCTGATGTAGCCTCAGACAATATATCATCCTTAATAGTTTTTTCCTCCTCAGAAGATTCAGTTGGTTCATCTTTAACACTGAGTTTTTCATCATCAATAATCTTACTGTTATAAACAATATTTTCATCAATTTGTGATTTATTAAATTTTTTGCCAATTTCCTCGTCCTCCATAACGACAACTTCAACTATTTCCACGCTACCAGGAACGTTCTCCTCTGGACTCTCAGTTTTCGACTCTTCGCTCTGCTCTTTTTTAATTTCAGTTTCATGCAATATTTGCGAATTTTCCTGCTCCGATGTATCTATTATTTCATCGATCTTCGCTGTTTGAATAATCTGCTTTATACTGGACTGCTTCGTTGGCTCGTAAATTACTGGATCCTCTTGAAATTCAAACGGATCGATTTGTGGAAGTTCCTTTTCCTTTAACAGTTTTTCAGCTGAAATACTTTCGGCTTTGGCTGCTGCTTCAGCCACCGCCGCCTTCTCTTTGTTGACCAGCTCTTCAAGCTCATTTTCCAAATGCGTTATTATGTCATCATTTCCTTCTAATAGATGTTGTTCGGGGTCCGTTACTATATCTGCGTTTTCTATCAGATCCGAAATGATAACATCAACTTCCTCGTTTTTTATTTCAGGCAATGGATCATCTCCTGAGAGTATTGTACTTTCTAGATCTTCTACTTTAAGATTAGGTAATTGATCGGTTTCATCCAATAAATCTGAAATGGTATCCTTTACAGAAGAGGTAGTTATTTGAGGTTCTTGTGATATTGCAGTGGTTACCAACTGCTGGATTCCAGGGGAAACAGGAACAGATGCTGAACAATTTAATAAACTGGCTATAGTTGGATTGGTATTTGAATTGATAGGTCTGTGATTTGTAATAGCTGAATGCAATATAGAGGTAGCATTTTGAGCATGTGATGGAGATTTAAGTAGACTTGTCAGCAGCGGTGATAATGCTGGTTTTGGTGGTTCCGTCATTTGTGTGGGCGTCTGTGGTGCAGGTCTTTCTTCCACATGCTCCACTTCAACTTGATCAAAACTTTCTGAAACTTTTCTTTTTACTCCAGTTGCAGGACTTTGGATCTTCACTGCAGGTCTCCATGTCCTCTCGATTTCTTGTTTACGCAACTCGCGCTCCTTTAACCATTGAGAATGAGCCAAAGACTCTTTCTCTTTCTGTTGCTCCTCTTCATCTATTTGTTTACACATTACATCCAATTGTTCTTCAGTCAAAGTACCTAAATACAAATATTGTAATAAATTAAATCCAATCATATTTTGTTTGACATACCTGATTTTAAAATTGCCATTTCCTCTTGTAATTTTAAATATTCAGATTTCTCTTCTTCTAATAACTTTTTCAATTCTGATTTCCGTTCAGTCATTAATCTCCTCAAAATATTTTCACCTGCCGTCTCTATGGGGGTTTCTGCCCCTGATGTGCGCTTTTTACGTTTAGGAGTCTCAACGTTTTCCAATAGTGCGCCATACTGGGCTGCACAATTCTTCTGATGGAACCAATCCGTTGGTCTGCTCGGTTCACCAAAAGGTTTCAGAGATCTGCTCACAGACATCCAGTTTTGATCACCTGCCCTGGCGACTGCAAAGGCTAAGCATAGTTGTTCCCTGGTAGACCATTTATCAAGAGGTTCACGTATTCTCTGTAGTCGCTCCTGTATTGATGCCATATTTGGAGGTTAGGATCAGTGTATTTCACTTAAATCGTGAATAACTTAAGTTTATAGGCGTAGATATACAGACACAATAAAATTCCTTTTATATTTTCGTTTATCAACATAAAATTCAATATATTTAATATTGTTTATTTTGTTTAATGTTCTTTTCTTTCAGCTTTGATATACAACAACAAACATACCAAGCTATCACCACAAACTGTCAAAAATGCATGATACAATTACTATTATTAAATTTAATGTTATGAATTAATCTCAATCTTAACATTAAAAAAAAACATGTAGATCCAAAAAACATAAATAAAATTAAAGAAAATAATAAGAAATAAAATACAATTTATGTTCATTTTTAAATATATACAACCTTATATACATGTAACTGCAAGTTGCATATATTATGATATTATTTTGTAAATAATTTTAAGTATGTAAGAATTATATTCAGAATTATTATACTCATTATGATTATACTTCTAGAGGGAAGAAGAAGGAAGAAAAAAATTATTATACTTAATTCTTCAAATAATTGTATAACAAAAATTTAGATTATTTCATATTTCACAAATACCTTAATCTAACAATTTCATTTTTGATATTTTCTATAATTCAATTATATAATTTCAATATTTTATTAAACTTACGACATTTTATTAAGCACTAAGCGTATTAGACGTATAGAAGATTGCATATGTATGCAGGCACTACCAGAAACATTCTTCTTGACATTAGAAATTTCATAAGTTTTTGCAAGTTTGTTAATATTTATAATATTCACAATAAGTTCCCTGGTATATTGATTTTTAATCCACTTGGATTTAATAGGACTTCGTTAAAACAATGACTGCATTTGAAGGTAAATTATGCATATTTATAGTGTTTATCGTTTGTTTTTATACTATTAAGTTTTGAGGTTATAAAACCTGAAAATAAGCCGAACAATCTGGTTTATAGTTTGTAATATTTACAGAATTCGGTGTTCTTCCGGAAATAGCAAAAGCTATAGAGGAGTTGGAATGGACGTGAGTACAAGCAATAATTAATTGTTATTCTCTTCATTTGATAATTTCAATTATTTCTAGCTTACCAACAGATATTCAAGCAGAAGGAATTCCTCTAGTTCTTGGTGGAGGAGATGTTCTGATGGCAGCAGAAACAGGAAGTGGAAAAACTGCTGCTTTTTGTTTACCAATTATTCAGATTGTGTGGGAAACTATAAAGGATATTGAGTCTGGCAAAGCTGCAAAAGTTTCAAAAAATTTATGTAATTGTTATAATCTAATGTTTTTAATGGATTTATTAATATATTTTTTTAATGCAGCACCAGCATGGCAAATGTCAACATTGGACAGAGGAAATGCCTTAGCTGTGTCACCTTGTGGTCTAAGAGTGCAGTCTCGTGATCAAAAGGAATGGCATGGTACAAGATGCACAAGGGGTGTGCAAAGTGGTAAATGGGGATTTGAAGCTACAGTCACTGATGAAGGTTTGTGCAGAGTGGGCTGGTCTACTCTTTCTGCAAATTTAGAGATTGGAACAGATAGGTGAGAAATCATTTAATTTTTCTATATTAAGAAAATTGTTATTAACTATATTTTATAGATTTGGATTTGGTTTTGGTGGAACTGGAAAAAAGTCCAACAATAGGCAATTTGATAATTATGGTGAGGCATTTGGGAAGGATGATGTTATCACATGTCTTCTTGATTTGGACAAAGGAGAAATAAAATTCTTGAAGAATAGTGTTGATTTAGGAACTGCTTTCACTATTAATAAACAAATTTCTAATAGTGCTTTCTTTCCATCTGTAGTATTGAAGGTAATTTGGATTTCATTCAAATATGTCATTATTGTATGTGTTATTGTTCTAGAATGCTGAGATGTCATTTAATTTTGGTAATTCTCCATTAAAATACCCTTTGCCAAATGGTTATAAGCCAATATCTACTGCATCCAAAGAAATAGTTATGAACACTAATGGGGAGACAGGAACAACGGTATCAAAACCAGCGAACAATGCTCCACAAGCTATTATAATTGAGGTATACGTGAATCAATCATATAAGATTGTTTATTAACTATATTGTTATTCTGTAGCCATCGCGAGAACTAGCGGAACAAACTTGCAAAGAAATAGTTAAGTTTAAGAAGTATTTAAGTAATCCTTCGCTTCGAGAACTGTTGGTTGTTGGAGGAACCAATATAAAGGAACAGATATCTTCTCTCCAAAATAATGGTGTTGACATTATTGTTGGAACGCCGGGAAGATTGGAAGATTTGATTCAAGGAGGATATTTGTCGCTTGCAAACTGTCGTTTCTTCGTCCTGGATGAAGCTGATGCTTTATTGAAACAGGGATTCACCGATTTGATTTGCAGACTTCACATGCAAATGCCGAAGTTTACAGCTGATGGACATCGTTTACAGATGGTCGTATGTAGTGCTACTTTGCACGCCTTCGAAGTTAAAAAGATGGCGGTAAAACAACCTAATTCTCCCAGTTAGTGGTATATTTTATTTATTTATTTAATATATTTTTTATTAGGAAAAGCTAATGCACTTTCCAACTTGGGTTGATTTGAAAGGCGAAGATTCAGTACCCGAAACGGTTCACCACGTAGTTGTCAATGTTAATCCACAGACAGATCTTAGTTGGCATACAATGAACTCCCATATAATGACCGATGGTGTAAGTACATCTTTAAATTAAGAGTTTCTAAAATTTTATTCGTATTTGTATGTTTAGGTGCATGCAAAGAACGAAGTACGACCAGGTGGAAACACTCCAGAAACTATGAGCGAAGCGGTAAAAATGTTGAAGGGAGAGTACTGTGTCCGTGCTATTGACGAGCACAAGATGGAGAGAGCAATTATCTTCTGTCGCACTAAGTTGGATTGCGATAATTTGGAAAAGTATTTGAAGCTTTTAAACAAAGAGAAGTACTCTTGCGTCTGCTTGCATGGGGACAGGAAACCTCATGAGCGCAAGTCGAACTTGGAGATGTTTAAAAATAATCAAGTGAAATTCCTTATTTGCACCGATGTTGCCGCTAGAGGGTTGGACATTAAAGGATTGCCATTCAGTATGATTGTGTTTGGTCGATAGCGACGATTTTTCTAGTAATGGGAGTATATTTGTAGTGATCAACTTTACATTACCGGATGAAAAATCGAACTACGTGCATAGGATTGGGCGTGTTGGAAGAGCTGAACGGATGGGTTTAGCTATAAGTTTAGTGAGCACAGTTCCAGAGAAAGTTTGGTACCATGGGGAGTGGTGCAAGAGCCGCGGTAGAGGCTGCTGGAACACTAATTTGGTGGAGTCCAGGGGCTGTTGCATGTGGTATAACGAACCAATGGTAATAACAATAGTTAATTCATTTGAAGTTATTTATTTATATTATATTTTAAGTATCTGGCGGAAATCGAGGATCATCTGAATATAACTATACAACAAGTAGAGCGTGATATGAAAGTTCCATCGAACGAGTTCGATGGTAAAGTGGTTTATGGTCAAAAGAAACGACAAGATGGTGTGCAGTACGAGAACCACGCATCCCAAATGTTGTCAGTCGTCAACAGCTTATCCAGTTTGGAGAGCAAGGCCCAGATTCTCTATTTGAAGCGATTTATAACAGGTAGAGAAACAAGCTGAGCTATTTTAAAATTCATTTATTTAATGATTAAGTATAATTAGTGTATATAAACGTTTTGCTTCTATTTTAACATGTTAACATAATCCTATGGGTTGTCAAAAGTTTATATATACAATACGTTTTAAAATCAATTCTTTTTTCATCTTCCATTTCGTTCCCTATAAAATAATTGTCATAACTATTATAAAATATTTCGCTTTAGAGACTAGTAACTATTGTAAAAGTAAAAAATAATTCAATCCTTAAATAAGTTTTGAACATAATGGAAATACCAATAATTTATTTTTTTTTCCATTGATGGGAAAAAAACTTATTCCATTATACTAAATGCTTCTTTTCTTAATCAGGAATACAGCTCAGCGACCGACTAAGATATATGAAAATTTAAGAATGATGCTGAATTTATTGCATCATGCTGTAAGGTCGATCTGGGAAAGAGTAAGTAGTTGCACAACACTGTAGCAGCATTAATCTCACATAATATCTTGCAGATTGTAAACTGTTGGTTATTTTTTTTTGTTTGATTTGTCTGTCTTAAAGAACAAGTGAAAGGCAAATAATGTTAATTTACGCTGTCTCTGTAGGAGGGTTAAGAGCCAGCACCATGTCGAGCACAGCCATTTCGATAAAAAAAGTAATTATTGTATATCTTGGTTTATCTCCTGGACGAGAATCAATATAACTATGCTTGTTTAACACAACGAAAACGTGCTTAAGGGCACGTTTTACTTATCGGTATCGGATATTTTCTCCCAGTCACCATCAGTGCTGCTACTGCTGCTTGTCGGAGATCCTTTAACCACCTCCACCTGTTTCTTCTTCTTTCCTCCTCCGCTCTTCTTATTGGTCTCCTTCTTCCTGGTTGGTGTAGTGTTGGTATTCGCCTCGAATATAACATCTTCATCTACCTGATCCTTTTTATTATCAACGCTCTGTTTGCGTTGCTCCTCCTTCTCTTTTGTCTCGTTTTCATATTGCTCTAGTAATTTGATCTGCTCCTCCTCTGATAAAGAAATATCTTTTGAAAAATCTTCTGAAAATATATAGTTTATTGCAAGTAACAGAATCCACGCGCAAATATATAAACCATACTTAAGAAGCTTGTATTCAAACTGTAATGCCACCCATATATATATGTAATATATAATCCAATAAATAAATAAAAAGCACATCACCTACACCTTGTTTTGCTTCCAAACTTTTATGTAAGTATAAAATATTTCATTTAATTTAATATGTACACGGTGCAATTTAAAATGACATTTTTTACTTAATATAGATCGAGTTTTATATAACTACCTTCTTCCCAGTTCACTGTATCCTCTGTTACTTCTTTCAATTTAGAATCCCGTTTCTCTAAGGCCTCTAGCCTTGCAAAGTCATCTTCCAATAAAGCCTTCCTAAATAAGTACCTGTAAAACAAAAGCAATGATTCGATTTAGCTAGTTAAACAAATGATCCAAAAATATAAATGTACCGTTTCCAAAATAATTCATGCCCGACTTTCAATGGAACGAGACTTATGTACTGATTTTTTAAAGTGAGCGAACTCAACATATGCTTGCTCAGCCGATCTTCGGACAATTGATCATCTATAATTTCCAGCCAATATTCGTACTGCTTCTTCATAGACGGATCTGGATCTTGGATGAATGTTAATTCGTCCTTTTGAAGTTCGTAAAGCGCTTGCTGCAAGTTATTATTTTTTTATGACAAATATATGCAAACAGGAGCATTGCTGATATAAACAATGTTTATCACAGCTGCTGCGGATGCATTTCAATTATCTCGTGAATGTATTATTGATAAATACTTGTATGACAATTGAAGATGAAGATTTATACATACTTGCAATTTCGTTAATTTTACTGTTTCATTTCCTTTCACAATCATAATAACATCAGTATCTGAATCATCTAAACTTGGATTTAATGCTTCATTCATTTGACCTGCAAGGACATTCTTGAGGAAGTGCTTTTATAAGAATGAATGAACTCACCTAAGAATGAGCTAAAACTTCTTTTCATTGAGCTAGCAGTTGATTCAGGTTCATCCAACTATGAAAATCAATTAAAAAGTCTATAATTATTTGCAATTAAAAAATTATAAACATTATTATATATGTTTCAAGATAATTATACACTTATCAAATTGCATGCAATAAAATACCATAATAAAAAAATATAGTTATTGATTACAAACTGTTTGTCAATAAAGTATTGAAATGTTCTATAATACAATACCTTCAAGGTTTTCTCAATTGCTGTTCCTGTTGAGGTAACAACATTGGTGGCTTCAGTTTTGACAACATTGCCAAACTCCTCAAGATCTTTCTTGACAAATTCCAGGACTTCACAGCTCTACAAATGTATGTCATTAGTAATGTGTTTAGATACACCTATAATTCTATCATTACTTTATTCTTGGCAGCCGATAACCAAGAACCAAACCAGTTGTCATTGCTAAAATGGAAGAATTGTTAAATATTAATGTAGTAGCTACATATGGTAATGCCACTGAGGATAATTTATATACTACAAACTTACTTCTGGGCCATTTCCGAGTTGTTTTCGACTTTCCAAATGGGCAAAATGTTAATGGAAATGTCACACAAGAATTTTTTCTTATTAGTTTACGTTTAGGTTTTTTTATCTTTATTTACAAAATGTTTTGACAGACACACGTTCTATTTTTTTATGAACCTATATATAAACATATATAGCTGCTATAAAGTTACCTACTAATTTTGTTAATTTGTTGATTAGATGGCGCCACATCCAAATATATTATAATATAATTTGATATTGCTATAAGCGATTTTACGTAATTGGATATCATTAATAATGTACAATATTATATATTTATAATAATACAATAAGTAGCAGCGATAAAAGTCAAAACTTTGTGTACATTTGGTGGCATATAAATCTAAAGTTAAGACAATCTAAAAGGTGGCGTTACCAGTATTAACTTAAAGAGATATTTTCATTTCAAAATTTAAGTTTAATTATTACCTTTACGATCATATTTAAACTTTAACAATAATTTAAATATTGTAAATAAAAACATAATTTTCAGCTGAATTAAATAAACTAATGTATTTAAATTTCAACATATTATATACAAATTTTGTACTTAAAATATAAATAAATTAACACATATCTTGTTTAATTACCTCAAAAGGATATTTATTATAAATATATTTATAAAGCAAAATCTTATTAGTTGTTATTTTATAACAGTAAATTACTACAATGATGCCAAAATAAACCTATAATCATGGGAAATAGCTGAGTAATAGCTTTGCATAATTCTATTATAAATTATATAGAAAACCGAAACATAGAAAGCTTGGAATAAGGAAAAAACACCTTTAATCCAGTCCAAATTCGCTTTGTGTGTGCAATATACACATACACACATTAAATACTTTCACTTCCGGGACATTGAAGAAGTGGTAGAAGGTATGGGCTAATTAAATTTCAGTTTCTAAAGTCCGTACTTCCTCTACTGAAGGCTAAAAGAAGTTTTATCCAAATTGTATTGATCTTTTTTTTTAGTGACGTTTACGTAAAATGACATGCAAATTTAAATGCATACTTTTTAATATATACTTTGTTTATAAGTGATTGAAATGTTATTGGAATAATGCTACTAAAGGACCATGCAATTCTTTGGCTAAATACACAAATTTAAAGAATATGTGATATTTAGAATTAAATTGAAATAGAAAAATTTTAAATGTTGTTTTTAAAATTATTTTTTATTTTCTACAAAGAACAATTATTTTATTGATGGATTATCTTAATTGTTCAGAAAAATAGTATATATAGCATTAAAACAGATTTCTTAATTAGTTAATCTAATAAATTCTAATAAGATACTTTATTAGATGATGATAAATATAACAACCAAATAAAAATGTATAATTTCAAATTTTTAAGAAATGCCAGTCAAGTAATTTTTTGAGAGACTGGTATTTATTACGTATTTCCATCGTACATATTATCAAAATATGATATTACTTTAATGATGTCGTTATACAAGTATATTTCGTGCATACAAAACAAAATTAAATAAAAAGTAGGAAACTTGATAATATTAATATACTTTTTCTATACTTATGTTAATTAACATTTATTTTTCAATTAAGTCCTCTAATATTTATTTACAATAAAAAAAAATCAACAAGAAAATGTATTTGAAATATGTCTATTTATGAGCCAAAATTCGGAAACAAATATGGTATAGTTCAGGAGTGGCCAAAACTGTGGCTCACGATCCACATGCGGCTTCAAGAAGTTTGTTGTACTTTAACTTTATTTTTTATTTTATATCATAAACTTTAGATGCAGCTCCCAATATTTATATGTAGGTAGCTGTAGCATTTGCCGCAAAAAGTCTGGCCACCCCTGATATAGACGTTTTAAACTTTTTGTTGCTCTGCTGTATCTTGTAGATTTATAAATTCATCATATTTTCTTAAAAAGTTATAACTCTTACTGTCTGAAAATTGAAACGTAAGAGAAAGTTGATTACATATATAATAACCCAAATATAAATGTTGACAACTATTGGATTTTTATCCAATATAGAAAAAAATAATTAAAACAGTAATATTTCTTAAGATATGTTTCATAGTAGATTGATATTTTGGTTGTCAATTTTATAAGCTAATATTGAACCAAAATCTCTACCATTTATATATCAAAATAAATCAAAGCCCTTTGGCACCGATTTTGTCCAATAAATATGTTCAAATAAACATTCATAAAAACTATGTACAAAATACTTATGATAGAGTTAATATTGTGATTTAATTTATGAAAAGCTTTGAAAAAAAGCTCTATTATTTGATTTGTTCGTTCTGTGGTAAACATTATTATTTTCTATTGTAAAAATAAAATGTATACTTAAATGTGTTTAGATCTTATTATAGATATCTTAGCTCTGATATGTTGAGACATTCTAAAGCTTGCAGGTCAGTTTTTCGTCGAGTATCGGGCATTTATTATTCGAATTACTCGATTTATAGTGAACATTGTATATGATTGTAATTGTATTGAACTTATAGAAAGCAAGTGTATACAGTTTACACGTAAACGTTTGCAGATCTTATTTTAGACATAAACGCTTAGTGCTGAGACGTTCGAGTCCATGCAGGACACTTTTTCGTCGCATAAAAATCGAATTGGATTGAAAGTCTAGGAAGTGAGTGCAGGGCTGTGTGTGTGTGTTTGCGCAGAGAGGAATGCATTATTTAGAAGCGTGCTAAATCTTAATCCGGCGATAATCTCCTATCCTATAATGCAGTCCAGCGATGTTATCTAGTGATATTTTAATTTGATACAATAAAACCTGCCGGTTCGAGTAAAAATTTTCCATCGACGATCCGTTTATCTTCAAGCGGGGACTGCTTCCGATAAGGTCTTCGAGCATAATCCAAATCAGTAATATGTTTATATACATGTAAATGTATGTATAATGTTGGGGACCTTGCGACAGGTTAGAGAGATATGTATACGTGCTCCCGTGTCGCTATATGTTTTATATGGATCTTCGCCCTGCCGTATGTATATAGCATTCTCCTATATAGATGCATGCATGTGCACGAGTATGAGTGTGTATATGCATGCATGCTATATACACCTGTGTAGGTATATAGTGGAGATACAGCTAGTGTATGTATGTAGATAGTGCGTGGTCAGATGGCAGCCAGCGAGTTATGGTCCTGAACCATCGCATACCGCGCTCTGCCTCTTGCAAACTACTCTTATGCCGACAACCAGGACCGTAACCGATACCAACGACCACATTTTCCCTATTTTTTTTTATTTCATTACATTTATAGTTCCTGTTTTATATAATTTATTATAAATAATCATAGTTGAACATTGTATTTTTTTTTCTACTGAAAATATGTCCAAATTTTTTATTTCAAAAATATCCTTATTTAGTATAATTATCCAAAATATAAAATACAGAATGTTACTGTCTGAATTTCTGGTGGTGGGACTAAAGCATTAAATGTAAAAATATAATAATTATGTTTTTAAAATATTTAATTAATTAATTTCTACAAATGCGACAATGAAGCAGGAACTTTTGTTATATACTTCAAGCGATGTAAACCCTGCAGCTCTTACAAAACGAGGGACAATTTTAACTATCTTGAAATAAAAAGAAAACATCTTTAATTCAACGATAATTGTATGATTATAATCTAGAAAAATAGTTAATAATTCCATATAAAAATTACTGGAATTAATTTGAATAAATATCAAATATATTTTATACAAGATAATTTTAATATTTTATGAACAAATTATCAAAACAATCACTAAAATGAGACATTAAAAATTTAATTATTAAAGTATTAATTATTTAGTATTAAAACTTACCTAATAAAATCAAATACAAGAAAACAAATTGATCTATTTCGCACTAAAACTCGAATCTACTCAATTTTAAAGATTTCGTTAATATGTTATATTTTTTTAATATATTTTTATCCATTTTATACTTTAATTTAATTTATATATCTTTTTTATTATTAATTTTAAACATCATTGAGTATTGAATATTGCAAAGTGTATTAGTTTGTAGTAATTAATTAATTTGATTATATTGCAAGTAACTATTTGTATAATTTATAAACTGTTATTATTTTATATAATAAATATTTGGTTTAGTAATTGTAATATATAATATTTTTAGAGTAAGTTAATGTTAACTAAATGTTGTCAGACGTGCTTATCTTATATAAACAAGTTTATATAATAATATAAGAAAGCAGACTAATCAACAATAAACAGTAAAACGAATTTGAGATAATCTTAATAAAATTAACATGTATAACTCTAATCATAGAAATACATATATTTTCCTAATTGAATGTGTATAAACAAATATTATGATTCTGTATTTCGTTAAGAGATCTATTATGCAAGCTTAAGGTATTGAAAGAAAATAGATGGATTTAGTATAAGAAATCTCTTGAACGTATCAAATAAATCCGCTGGGTAGCGTGTCTAACTAAATAGGTAAATCGGTTTCACTAGGAATAATCGCACGTGCTTTGAAGCGTTCATTGTTACATTCAAGGCACGTACAATATGTTTGAATACTTGTATCAATTCGATCCTATTTGCTTCATTGTCTTCGAACTCGAATCCAAAAAAAATAGAAGAAGAACGTGTACACATTAAAAAGTAAAAATAGAAGAATCACAACGAAATGATACATTTCTTTATGGAATTAATGGTAAACGTTTTGTATTAAAAATGTTTCATTATTTTAATAGAAGAAATTTTTTTATTTAGTATTTAGGTTAAAATCTTATTCAAATTAATGATATTCTTGTCTACTAGGTGGTCCGAGCTCGAAATACTTGGAGAACCAATGGTATTCGATACGTGAACCATCTAGAATATTAAATCGAGATCTATTTACGCGGTCTTTAGAATATCAAAATTTCTATACTTTAGATATTCTGAAGACCAGAGGATTCGGAGAAAATCAATGGAATGAAACAACATAACCTACATGAAATCAAAGAAACTTATGGCAAACTTTAGAATTAGAATTTAACCAGATATTCGAGTAAATTGATGAAATAAAATCAGAGAATCTAATGGAAAATCAAAACAGAGAAACTTGAAATAATCCAGATGATAATACT